TAGACTGCTGGTTGATCTACCTGCCTTAAGTCTCTCCCCACTCTAGTCTGTGTCTTCCACTCAACTGTTAAAGTGATCTTTCTAAAGTGCATGTTTGACCTGATCATCCCCCCCCATCCCTTCAGTCCCCCCAGTAAACTACACTGGCACCTTGTTGCTTCTGGGATCAAATATAACATTTTCTGTTTGGATTTCAAAGCCCTTAGTAACCTGTCTTCTTTCCATGCTTCTTACACCCCCAACCCACTGTGATCCAGTGACACTGATCTCCTTGTTTATCACACACACTCCATCTGTCAACTGTGGGCATTTTCACTGGCTGTCCCCCGTACTTAGAATGCTCTTCCTCCCAATCTCCACCTCTTGGCTTCTCTGTCTTCCTTCAAGTTTCAGCTAAAATCCTATCTTCTACTGGAAGCCTTTCTCATTCCCCCTTAATGCTGGTGCCTTTCCCTTTGCTGATTATCTCCAATTTATCCTGTATTTGTTGTGTTTATACATAGTAGTTTGTATGTCTCTCCCATTAGACTGTGAGCTCCTCGAGAAGAGGGACTGTCTTTTGCCTTTGTATACCCCAATGTACAGTGCCTGGCATATAGTAGGCATTTAGTAAAATTTTATTGATTGACTGTCATCCCTTTTAAGGAATATGTAATCATAAAGTGAAATGTGCATCATTTTTTATTAATGGCTTAATATTAGAATACCGATTGTGATTTAAGTAAATAATCATTGCAACCATGGATAATATTGGGGGAATATTTTTAGCCTTTAAAGTAAATTACTATATGAACTTAAGTTTCTGTGCCTTGGGATAACAGAATTATAAGTTTAGAGCTGGAAGGGGCCTCAGAGCCCATCTAGCCAAATGACTTCATCGTAGATGAAGAAAGTTAGCCCAGATAGGTTAAATGTCTTACCTTTATCTGATTGCTTCTATTTAGAGTTGATTTGAAGATTCTTTCATGTTTTTAGCCTTTTTTTTTCATTGCAAATAATTACTTTTGATAGGAGCATGCTGCACTGTTGGATGGGTTTGTTCAAATGTGTCTGTAAAAGGATTCCTGTAGTTTTAATTACCTTTTAGGCACTTTGCCTAAAAGAGAGTGACTGAAGTGCTATTGGCACACTTAGCTTTTGATGAAGATAATTTAAAACTCTGGTGGTATGTGTAAGACAAATTGTAGATTTGTGGAGACCTTGTACTTCAAAATTTATCTGTTTTCTGCACTTAAAACTTTGTCACATCATATAAGTACCATTCTATAAAAGAAATTATTTACCTATCAGGGTGAGTGATGATTAGATTATTATGCTGGTGAAAGTAGATCATGAAGTTTTCCTCTGAAATATGAGTATATTGTAGTTTTTTGGAGGCATTAGCTAAACTACTTTGATTTGGGGAAATATAATACATGTTTAATATGAAGAATTGTAGAGCATTAAATAATACTAAACTAATATACTATTTTGCCTTAGGAATGATATCTTTTATAAATGTTTATTGTTCTCATTCCCTTTAAGTTTTTGATGTTTTAACTTTTAAGAATTCTTCCAAAGAATTGTTCCATCTTTAAATGGTATTGACAGAGATTAGGCAAAGAAAGTTGCATTTAAAGAGCCTTCTACCTCTTAATTTTTTTGTTTTTGGCAAAACATGAATTTGTCATGGCTTGCTTCCCCTCTTGACTTTCTTATCAGATCCTACTGATTGATCATCAAATTCATCAGATCCTATCTGCATGATATATATTGACTATATCTGAGAGAAATGATTATTCATAATTAATGATTTGGGGAGATCCTTTTCGCTATCCTCATTTCAAGACTTCAGTCTCTAAAGGTCAACTAAACTCCTCTATCTGATATAACTCAACTTTATAAGTAATCTGTAGTCTAAGGTGAATTCTATACAGTCAAGCTTAGGTGGAGACAGATCCTTTTGTCACAGTTGCCCAAGGGTGGCGGTGGTCTGGGGATAGAGATAGCCTCTCTGTCCAAAGGTAAGGTGGTAACACTCCTAGCTGGTCACTGGAGTAAGTTCACTTCTCTGTAAAGTCCACCCCTCATTAAACTATTAACCAATTAGAGTTGATTGCTGTTTGATGGAGCACCTCTTATCCAAAGGCACATAAACCTAAGAAAGTAGCCATGAGCCCTCTTTGATGGGAAACAGGAGGATAGGGAGCCTTTTCTGTCAATAATCTGCTGGCCGTGATTGATCTCTCAAGGTCTAGTCCTAACGCCAATATCTTCCATAAATCCTTTCCTTTTTCCCCTCATGAAGAACTTCTCTTTCCTCTGAATTTGATTGTTAAGACTTTTGTTTTTATTTCTTTCAGGAACCTACCACATTCTACTTTGTGAATGATTATTTGGAAATAACGCATCTCTACTACCAGACTGTTAAGTTCCCTTAAAGCAATAATCCTGTCTTTTTCATCTTTTGTAACCCAACATTTTTTGTTTGTTTGTTTTGATTTGTGCCTTCAAAGGCCAAGCTGATTCCTACTCTACTAAAATGGGTCCATGTACTCTGAACCTTTTAAGGAAATTCAAGGAGATCATAGGCTATGTTCTACTTGGGGAAGTCTTAGGAACCTGAAGCCAGTGCAAGGAACTAGGTCCTTATGATCTTTAGCTCAAGGCGCCTAGTTGGGCCACCTTTGGGATTTCATAGAAACAAAATGCTTCTTACCTCCAGACAAGACAGTCAAAGACTCTTATGGGGTCTTCACAACTGGAATAGCATCTTACATTTGTATAGTTAGCACTAATTATAGTTTGCAAAACACTTTTGTTGTACATAAGGCTGTGTCAGAATCCACTGGACCCTGAACAATTAGCAGGTTGGGCATGCATTCTAGTATTTTTTCCCTTGAATTCTCACATATTGGTCTTACTTTTGGGCATTAAAAAAACAACAACCCAGAAAGAACACATTTCCATTTCTATCCTTGCTTCTGCCCATCTTACATCACCATAGTATCTTTTAGGCATATGACATCTGCTTTCTGTGCATTCCCTCTTGCTCCACTACTTACTTATAGCGTAAAAAACGCACCTGTCTTCACTTTGATTTATATTACAAGGCCTATTTTCTGATACTCTTGAAACAGTCAATATGACCCTTTATTTTACATAGTTAGGTTTTAGTTGGGGAGACTTCCAAATCCAAAAGCTGCTAGATTCCATATTTGGATAGTTTGACAGGAGATAGTTTAAGATTGAACATTATTAGATTTAACCTGGACCCACACATCACTGTGGATTGGAATTATTTAGTGTTTGCTGTTGAATGCTAGATTTGTTTGTATAAGGTGTTTTTTTTTCCCAACACACTTTTGCTTGTCTTGTTGATTTACAACTATTGCTAGTTCTGCTTAAGTCTCTTCTGACAATGATAAATAGATTCATTTGGCAAACTCAGGTATTTTTATTAAAATTGAATGTTGTTGAGTAGGAAGGGGCTTGTATACAATTTTCTTGTCAAAAAATGATGATGGGAAATAAAGCGATGTTACTTCCTTCTTGTTGAACATCAATTCCACATACCTTGAGTTATTCTTAGCTTATCTTCAGAAGGCTGTTACTTTCAAACTAAAGACAATTTTAGTTATTGGTGTATGTTGGAAAAAGTATATTTTGCCTGTCTTTATTTTTTGTAAGTCTAGGACTAATACATTTTTCCACATGCCTAGGAAGTAAAAACTTTAGTTTAAAAAAATACACAAATGAATGACTTTAATTTTTTTTTCTTTTTCTAAATAAAAATGTAATTTTTAAAAAACTCACAAAATCTGAGTGACTGCATTTAATGTATAAATATCCAAAGTTTTCCTATATAGCTTTTCTTGTTTTAGTTTAATGAAGTCATGTAAAATGTATATTTGGTTAATGCTTAAGAAAATATTACATTGCTATAGTAATTTAGTAAACATTTATTGAATACTTACTGTGGTAGTTGTATTAAGAATGTGTATTAGACATTCAAGCAGAAAGTAGGCAAGTCGTTTAAAAAGCTTTTTAAAAATAAATGCTTTCATCTAGAAAATGGTTCCCCGTTAGTGGTTCACGAGCCCCATAGAGGTTCATAACAATGGTCAAAGGGGGATCGCACTAAAAATAGTTTAATGGTGCTTTAAGCAGGAAATAATTGTAGAATAATATGAGTATGATATTCAATTACCCCAAGGATTCACAAACTTGATGCTGTTGTTGAAGGGGTTCATGGAGCAAAAAACATTGGTAACCACCATACTACAATATAATTGTGTTTATAATTATTTGTAAATTCTATCAGTGTCTGAAATTACTTCAGCCTATGATGCCAAAATTCTGAACATCTTATAGAATATTACCTTCTTCCTGGCATAGTTGTTTGAATAAGTCATTTCATGCCTTCCATTTTCAGAGAAAGCAGGGCAAAATTATAGATTTCCACAAATTCCAATCACTACCCGAATAGTTTCAGTGTAATCTGTTATTCCATAAATTCTCATTTTATTTTTAGAATAAAAATAGACATTTTAATGCTCAGTCTCATCAATACTTCAATTTGGATATGTCTTCCACTATTATAAGTCACATCCCATTTATATCTTCTCATCCTGTGTATTTCTTGTTCAAGTCAACCCATAAATCCTCCAAAGAAGATACCCCATGTGCTGGAAGCTTTCTGTGGGTCTTTCAATATTTACATGTTTCACCTGGAACTTTCTTTATTATCACTAACCCTTACATCATTTTTCCAATAAAAATTTCATTGATAATAGTTTTTATGCCACTTTATGTGCAAAAATCATACCTGGAATGTTACAGCCTCTTCCTGCCTACCAAATATGTCTTTGTGTCTTCAGAATAAAAATATGAATGGATTTTTTTTCTTGGTCTCCTCAATTCTAAGCTCAAAGCCTTCTTATAATATTGTGTGGTAGAGGAAAAAGTGAATGAAGAGTTTACTCAGTGATTTTTTTAATAAAATATATCTTTTCTTTCAGTATTGTAAATAGTGAGGATGACGATATATTCAACCCTGGAGAGTGTGAATTTGCAGCCAAAAAAAGGAAAAAGGATCACTTTAGGAAAAGCACAAATACTCAAGGTAAGATAATTTTTCATACATAGTTTTACACATATATGTATGTGGTGTGTGTGGTTCATTAAATCACTTACTAACTTTGGCCCTTATTAGATAGTAGGTTTTTGTTTGTTTCTTTTGTTTTATTTTGATTTTGATCTGGACCTGTGATTTTATTGGTGTGAGGGAACATGTGGCGTAGAAAATCCTACCCATGCAGCAGCTCATCTGTAACTTAAATATAGTCTTAGAGAGAAGCCTGGGGCACTAAGAAGTTAAGTGACTTGCCCATAATCACTTAAGTGTCAAGAGATAGGACTTGAACCCATGTCTCCAAGTCTGAGACCTTATTTATTCAATATACCACCTTGTATCTGTATACATATAGCTCAGCATCTTTTCTTTTCTTCCTTTTTTGTTTTTTTTTAAATGTCCCAGTTTTCAGACTGGGGCAATGGGGAGGCTGTCAAGGCTTCTGGCATGTAAAAAGGGTAACAAACAAAAACATGCTCTCTGAGTGGCTGGCATAGCTATCACAAAGCCTAATCATTGGGGCAGCTAGGTGGCACAGTGGATAGAGCGCTAGCTCTGGATTCAGGAGCACCTGAGTTCAGATGCGGCCTCAGACATATAACACTTATTAGCTGTATGACCCTGGGCAAGTCACTTAACCCCACTGCCTAGCCAAAACAAAACAAAACAAAACAAAACAAAACAAAAAAACAAAGCCTAATCATGTTGCTCCTATAATGGGAATTCAGGCCTTCATTTGAAGCCAGTTAACTTAAGCTAGTTACTTTATATTGTGTATAATTCTACCAATTTTAGTTAACTTGTTTCCTAGTCTGAAGCATTTAGTTGGAGGTGGGGGTGGAGAATGAGGATAGCAAGAACTAACAGTTGATCAACCACCAACATTGAGAGAGAAGATATAAAAACTATTTTTAAAAAATTGTAAAAGCACAGTAGTCTGATGCCTCTATTGAGATAGTTTTAGTAGCCTCTGTGTTCTAGAACAGTGTGTTAATTGATTTGTGATGATGACCCCTCGAATCATCAAAAAGAGATTAAGTTGTGCTTGTTTAAGAAGGCAGAAAATTTTAGAACGATTTTGGTCTAAAACAGTCAAAATTAAGTTTTGGTGCTATAAAGAAAATTCCCATATATAGAATACCACATTCCCTGATGAAGGAAGCATTCATATCCATTTTGGGGGGGGTGGTCATTGGTAAGGAAAACCCTAATTATGAACTGGAAACCAATATAATTAAAAATACTTACATTGTTTCTTTAAAAATGAATAAGAAATTAGTAAAAAAAATTTTGTTAGAATTTTTTTATATTTTAATTGCTTCTTTCCCATAACTTGTATCTGATATCTCTAAATACACTGATACCACTTCATTTTTTATTAATCTAAATTCACAATACTTCATTGATGTTTGCCTTAAGATGAGTCATTTTTTTCCCCAAAGAAATGTTTTAAAGAACACTTTGTTAGCTCTGAAATGTCTAATAAAGGTAATTTTTTCCCCTTAGCTAAGTAAATTATTGTGGTTATGATCACCTAAATTTAACAGTTCCATTCAAATAAATATTATGAGAAAACTTTTTTAGAAAACATAAAAACAGTTCATTTTAAAAAGTTAATTTTTATTTCAGGTTTTTATCGTGAAAAATGGATTTATGTACATAAAGAAAGCACCAGAGAAGTAAGTATTTTATCATATGTAGAATGAAAGGCTTTTATGTTACATACCTTTTTTTCAGTTTCATTGAAATAATGATCCTAGTTGTCAAATGAGTTTTGATGAGTATACTTAAAATTGAAAAATTTGCCTTCATTTAATTTAATAAATATTTTAGAACATTCTGCATGCTAGGCACTTTGCTAAACAGTATAGAGAATAGGGAGATTATACACGGTGCCTGCCACCAAGATGCTTACAATGTAATTGGGGAGATGGAAGATGCCAGTATATAAATTACGAAGTTGAAGTCTTAAATGCCTTGAGAGTAATATAACATACTATGGAGATTCAAAGAAGGAAACAAACCCTACAGTGGAATCCACAAAATTTTATGGAGGGATAGCATTTGTCAGTGAGTCAGCCAGCATTTATTTAGCATCCGCTACGTGCCAATCATCGTGCTAAGCACTGGAGAGACCAAGGCAAAAATGAAAGACCCGCCATTCTTAAAGAGCTTACTTCTATCATGGAAACAATAATGCACATATAAGTATATACAAAATATATGTGTCTATACAAATACACACAATAAGTAGCTGGGAGAGATCAGAGAAAGCCTCATGTAGGAATTATGTTTGTTGTCGGTGTGATCTTGGACAAGTCCCTTTACCTCCTTCAGCCTTGATTTCTTCATCTGAATATAAAGAGGTTGAACTAGGTGGGCTTTACAGTCTCTTCCTACTCTAGAACTATTATCCAGAGATGCCTGCATCAAGTTTTGAGCAGAGATGGGGATTTTAAGAAGTAGATCTAAGCAGGTATCCAATATTAAAAGGTCACTCCAAGTATAGGAGGTTAAAACTTTTCCTTTCTTTGACAAGCCAGTCTTGGAATTTTCATGATGCCTCATCTCTGGCAGAACTTCAGCATTTGTTGTGTGCTTAACTGTGTGCAAAGCTTTGTATAGATTAGTTTGTCCTTTAGACCAAGGAGCAAATATATTCTTTCAGCATACTTTGTAGCAATCAGGGAGAATAACTCAGGGAACAAGTAAGTGTTCATTATGTACTAATTCTGCCAAGCTAAGTTAAGTGAGAGCTTCTAGGAATGTTTATGGAAGAATTTATCAGTTGAAAAGATACCAGCATCCCCAAAAAAAGTTCTCTAAAGACTAGATTATTAAAAATTCAGCTCATTTAACTGATTTGGTAGCATTAAAAGTGTTTAACAGATATGGCTCCCTCTGTCCTTGAAACTTCTTTAATAAGATTTTTTTTAAAGATTCCTATTTGATTTGCAAAAATACAGAAAATTCGAAATAAATACATGAAAGTCTATTACATTTCATATTATTTGCCAACATAATGAATTCTGCAGATCTTGGGAGGGCAAAGAATACGAATACACCTCTGAGCTGTGTTCTGTTTCAATAGGCAGTAAAGGATTTTGTCCCTCAATTCACAGTTGCACTCTTGCACTGAACCTGTACTTGGGAGGTTTGCGCAGGAGTAGCCTGTCCCTTCACTGTAGGCACCTAGCAGGAGAGAAGAAAAACAGAAAACACCCTTCTCTTCTCTCCACTTCTGAAACTAGCCTTTCTGAGATTATTTTGAGAATTTTCAACCTCTATGTATGTAACCTCTTGCCACTATATTCCTTTCACTTCTAACTTGAAAAAGTTTTACCTATTTAAAGCATTGTATGTCTTGTATTTAAATTTGAGTTTAAATTGTAATATATAACTATGAAATTTGACGCGCAAGTTAGTATGGAGGACATCTGATTTATGTTGTCCTTGGGGGGAGATAAAGAGAGAATCTTACAATAAGGACAGTGTTCTAGGAAGATGAAGAGAGAATCTTACAATAAGTATTCTAGGAGAGAATAGTAATATTTAAGATATGTCTCTGGATGTAGAGTTACAGTTTGAAAAGAGGGACATGAAAGAAATCATGTGGCTTTTTGTGTAGCGTAAAAATCAAAATAAGAATAAAGTAAGGATTGAGTGAAATATTTTGGGTAAAGATGACAGTAGTATTAAAAGGAAATCTCCCCAGGTAGTATGCCATGAGTATTCTATTCTATATGTATGAAAAAGTAGATGTTTGCTATTGGATAATATTTTGTTTATCTGAAGAAAAAAAAATCTCAGTTTAAAACATAATTATGTTAATTTATTCTTAATTAAGTAATTTTTTTCTGTTGGCTCAGTTATCTGTTAAGATTCCATTTACCTATTAGATTAATATCTGTCTTGTCTTTTAACCCAGACCTACAGATAGCTGCTCATTCACCATCATTCTGAAACCATCCTGCTTGTCATTTCTTATAGAAGGGTAGTATTCCATCATAATAACATACCACAACTTGTTCAGCCGTTCCCCAACTGAAGGGCATCATCTCAGTTTCCAGTTTTTTGCCATCATCATGCACTCACAAAATGATAGGAGGCTTCAAAGTTTTCCCTTAATTGGTTATTCCTACTGCTACCCAGCCTCTTGTAGCAGTGGCCTTCCAATCTCCTTACTTTGACAAGCCAGACTTGAAATTTTCATGATGCCTGGCAGAACTTAAGCATCTGTTGTGTGCTTAACTGTGTGCAAAACTTTTGCTCGCTTTGTTAGTCTGACGGTAAAGTCATTTCATCCTGCTAGGCTTTCACCAAGTTTGGGCTTTTTTTCTCCCTCTTCAGCCTCAAAAAAAGGCAAAATACCAGTTTTCCTTATAAAGTGATTTTTATGCACACATTTTAAAAAACCAAATCCACAGGCATCTGGAAAATAGTACTGTTATAACTATAGCCAAACGTAATATCACTACATCAGATGATTTCAGATAAGCTGAAATTTGGTTTCAGACTGAAACCTATAGCGAACTTCCAGTTTTCCCATTAAGATCAGGTATTTTTTCCTGAATTGGAAACTATATGCAGGTACCAGTTCAAATTTAGTTTTACTTGGTGAATAAGAAATCAGGGGAAATGGTTATTACTTGAATATTTCTTTCCAAACCATGGTAGAATCTGAGAATACCACCCTTCTTTTAGTGTAGGAAATAGAGCTGTCCATGCCATGATGTAATAGCTGCCAGGTGTACCTACCTTTAGGCAGAGCCAAGATTATGGGAAGGACACTAGCCCTTAGCTAGTTTTCTTTTTCTGCAGTTAAAATCATATGTTCCATATTTCTTTTTACATCATTTAATTATTGTTGTTATATTAATCACAGTTGGCCATTTAAAAATCTACTTCATATTGATTGAATCATATCACATTGAAGTATTAATGTTGATTTAAGTAATAGACAAGAAGAGTCTTCTTCCATTTTTGTTTGGCTTCATTTCTTTTTTCTCTTCTTTAGCCTTTAGAACTGTGTATATACTTTCTAACTCCAGTGGCCCTTTATGGGCCAAGGAATACCTTTTCCCCACCCTGGTCATAATAACTGTGATTATAGTCCTGACAAATGCAAAAGTGACATAACATGTAAATTCTTGTCATGAGACCCATGTTTAGGTTCTAGTTTTACCTTTGTAATTTCCTGATAAGGAATGATTTTATCAAACCCAGGGTTTCATGTGACTGACTATCAAAGGAGGATATCCCTACATTTTTTGAAAGAACCATGAAGGCCATGCCAGTGCTACTTAGCTTGAAATACAGCCTCTTTGGAACCTACCGCTGTGAATGAAAGGAAGGAGAAGATAAAAGCTCTGTTTTTTGCCTTCTCTACCTTATCACTGTTAAAAGAGGAATAAGGGATAAAGAACAAAGAGGGCTGTCCAACTTGCCAACTTCTTGATCCTTTGTGGTTACTGATTCCATAACTGGGTGACCACACTAGGTATCAGTCAATGAAAAAGCAATTATTAAGTGCCTGTTATACTCCAGGTACTGTCGTAGGCATTGGGAATCCAAAGGTAAAACGGAATAGTCCCTGCCTTCAAGGACTTTACACCATATAGAGAAAGACAGTGGATCTCAACTGTGTAGCTCTTCAGTTCTTATTATAAGTATGCAAATGCCTGTGGTGTTATTGGTATGGATCTTCCCTCCACCAGTGTGGATTACAGCTCTTCTATAACTCCCATTAACATGACTTACGATCACTGAAAAACTTACCATTCCTGAAGCCAATTTGTTCATGAGTCCTCCAAACTTAGCTAGATTGGTTCATTCAGTCTATTACTAAATCTATACTTGAAGTCCTTCTAGCCTGATAGAACCTGTCAGAGCATTTTGACATAGCCATGGAAAATTCCAGTCACCACCTGTTGTTATCATCATGACTCTTTGTTTTCTTGGCAAAATTACTAGAATGGTTTTTCCTTTCCTTCTCCAGCTCATTTTACAGATGAGGAAACTGAGGCAAACAGAGTTAAGTGACTTGCCCAGGGTCACACAGCTAGTAAGTGTCTGAGGCCAGATTTGAACTCAGGAAAATAAGTCTTTCCCACTCCAGGCCTGGCACTATATCCACTGTACCACCCAACTGCCCCAGTAATATACTCTAAAATACATATAATTTTTATGTTTATGGATTTCTCTGTTCTCTTCTCACTATGATAATAAAAATGAGATGTTGCTTACATTTCACCTAAACTATTTCGAAAATTTGCTGTAGCATTTAATTTTTTTAGATGACTGGTTAAAATAATGTAAAACTGATATTTTCTTCTATTTTCTTTTAAGTCTTGATTAGACTTCCAGAGTGTTTTAATGTTTTACTAATTCATCAATGCCTTTAATGGTTTGTTTTTAAACTTGTATTTCAGTGTGTAGTTATTATCTCTTAATTTTTTTTTTGTTTTTAAAGAGGCATGGCTATTGCACCTTGGGAGAAGCCTTTAACCGCTTAGACTTTTCAAGTGCAATTCAAGATATCCGAAGGTTCAACTACGTTGTCAAAGTAAGGACTGGAGCTTAGAAATCTGTATTACTGTCATACATAACTAGTCTACCTCTGCTTTATAGATTTGGTATCTTGCATGTTTCATATGAGTAATTTGTGTTTTATAAGTGGAAAAATTTGTCTGTATTGCTTTGTGGAAAAACAGAGTTCAGGAAGAAATAAGCTAGCCTGTAGTAGAATTGTTAAGTTGAAAAGAACGTCAAAAAAGCTTAAACTTTTCTCTTGCTTTTTTGTAGGATTATAGTTCAGTTCCCCTCATGAAAAAATAATGATCTAATAGAGAGAAACCTGGATCCTATTTCTGCAGGAATGCCACATTTCTGAAAATTGATCTTTGAGCATAGGTAGTCATCTGTGTACTGCGTCATACCATGCCATGCCAATAACTTGGCTGTCTCAGATGGATTGTCTGATAAAAAGCATAAAATTTCTTCTATAGTGATTTTTGCAGATGTTCTAAAATACAGGTTCCTATTTATAGCTTTCACAGGAAGAAAATTTATTTTTAAGGGATAACTGATAAGCTGGAATGCCTATATTTTTCATAAAATGAAAAGTTATGAAATAGCATTGGGGGCAGCTAGGTGGCACAGTGGATAGAGCACCAGCCCTAGACTCAGGAGGACCTGAGTTCAAATGCAGCCTCAGACACTTGACACTTATTAGCTGTGTGACCCTGGGCAGGTCACTTAACCCTATTGCCTAGCAAAAAACAACAAAAAAAGAAATTGCATTTTAAAAAATACTATTTTATGGTAAATTTCATGTTATGTGACATAAAAAGAAAGAGCCTGAGATAGATATTCATATTTATTGATTGCTTTTTGTGTGTGAGTAATTATCTCTGTTCTGTTGGATAAGACTATCCCTGTGTTGTGGGCTCTTGTGTTTTCCTTTTGGAGAAAGTACAGCCAGATATTTATGAAAGTTATTATACATTCTTAATGATAAAATGTAACTTTGAAAAGTATTTTGACTCTTAAAATATTGAAAAAGATTACTGAAGAGAAAAAAAATGATATTTGTAAATTGCGTTAGAGAACAAGATATTCTTAACTCTATAGGATGTTTCTGATATAATTCTACTTAGAATTATGTCTACTTCATGACATTTTTCTGATCTTTTTGTGCCATATGATTTAGTTTTTCCTACTACTTCAGTTCTGATTAGGCAGAATTCATTATTGTTTTCTGAAATATTATGCATATATTTCCTAATTTACTTGGACAAGCTATATACCTTGGTAATCTCTTTCATAGATGATAAAACTGAAATCTCTCAGGTTAAATGACTTGTCCAATAGCACAACTGAGTTGTCCAGGAAGCAAGTCTCATTTTATTTGTTTTTTTTAATCAAATTTTTTTTTTCCACATAAGGACTGACTGAAAAAGTAATTAATATGTTATAATAGAGAGTCCTGTGTTCTAATCACAACAAGAGGTTTTGAATTTTGTAGATGGAAAGAAAGCTAGAGATAGACTAGAGCTAGATGCGAGAGAAGCCGTGGCAAGCCAGAACTTTTAAGGTTGTTTGCCTTTTTGTTTATTCTCAAGGGGAGATCCTTGTGGTCCTTCAGTCCTCTGCAGAGTAACACAAAAGTTTGGACTTTGTGTGAAGGGAGAGGCCATAGATAGACTTAGGTTGCTTATGCATTTGTCTACATTATTGCCTACAGCAAGTGGAAATTTATTTGGAACATATCCGTTTTTAGAACTCTTGAGCATTGTAGGAGGCAAACATAATAATTTTCACTAACAGCCATCTTTATTATCTTTGGTTACAAGAGAAATGTGTGTTGTTTTTCTATTCTATTGAGCATTTGTAGTAACTCTTTTCGCTGATATTTCACTTAATTGCCATAGCTTTATCAACATGACTAATGTCAAATTATCTGTGTGCTCAGGAGGTGTTATTAATACTATTGGATTATTTTCATTAATTTCAGAGGTATTGTTATTAACCTAGAAAAAGAGCTTTGTGATGTCTAGAAATGAATATTTTTTGCACTACTTCTAATGAGTTCAAGAATTTCTCTTTTTAAGAACGTATATAAAAATGTTTCAATTAAGCTTTTCAGATAACATTTTATATAGGAATCTCTAAGTTATGCCAGAATTACCATTATCAAATTCTGGAGGTTTTCCAAGTGCCTTACATTTCTTTGAATGTAATAATAAGAGATTTCAAAGTCCAATTATAAATTATTTCAGTAATCAAATGAAAAGTCTTTCTAGTTGGCAGTTTTAGTCTTTTGCTCTTGCTGAGAAACCAAGTTTGATACCCTCTTAAGTGACAAATAAAAAATTAAACTTTATATGCCGCAGTTCAACTTGTAAGATGTTAAGATAATTAAAATGTTTTGCTTTATTTTGTTTTTTGTTAAAAATATTTGAGGCAGTTTGTGCCACATAATGGGGCAGCTAGGTAGCACAATGGAGAGGGTGCTGGGCCTGAAGTCAAGAAGACTCATCTTCCTGAGTTCAAATGTGGCCTCAGATACTTACTAACTGTGTGACCCTGGGCAAGTCACTTCACCCTGTTTGCCTCAGTTTCCTCACCTGTAAAATGAGCTAGAGAAGTAAATGGCAAACTACTTCAGTACTTTTACCAAGAAAATCCCAAATGGGGTCACGAAGAGTCAGACGTGACTGAAATGACTGAACAACGTGTCTTACAATGCCAAATTTGCCTTTATAATTCAGCATTATTTTTAAAGATTACATATTTCTCCAAATTTCTTTTTAAGAGGAATGAATAACTAATGGTTCATGTAGTTTTGAGAACCATTAATTTGTTCAATACCTCTACCATGGCATGACCTCTTATGCAACTGCTTGCTGAGAACGAGAGAATTAGTGTATTGAAACCTAGGCGTTTGGGCTAATGAATGTGTCAGCTTAGAATTGTGATACAATTAATGAATAAGCCATCAGACTCTTCAGTGTGTTCCTTTTGCACCTGATGAATTTTCTGTTAGCTTTACAGCAAAACTTGAATATCTTTAATCATTAAGTCACAACATATAGCATTTGGAAAATGTCTGTTTAAAATGTTGTTCATCTGGGGCAGCTAGGTGGTGCAGTGGATAGAGCCCGGCCCTGGATTCAGGAGGACCTGAGTTCAAATCCAGCCTCAGACACTTGATACTTGCTAGCTGTGTGACCCTGGGCAAGTCATTTAACCCCATTGCCTAGCCAAAAAAAATGTTCATCATTATTTTAATAAGTGATCATAATTTCATAGTTCATTTTAGAAAAGAGAAAGAATATCTCAAAATTCTATACTAATTTCTTGCTTGGATTCATAAAATACCTTATATTTTATTTCTTAATAACTTGGTTGTTAGGAATAACACCATCTTTTCAAAACACTATTAAAGACAATTTGCTTCTGTTTTAATGACTCATTCATATTGTTAATATAGCTTCAATAAATCATTATGTCAGGTTGCTTTAAAAAAAGATGAATAATTCACTAAACTGTTAAAGTTCACCTATATCCAGAGGTTCAATAAAAATGAATTTTTTTTGTTACATTGGCAAACTATATGAAGCTAGTCATTTCTCTCCTACTGATCATATTCAATTAGTATTTCATTGTATGCGTTGAGAAACTTCCCTATTAAAAAAACTAAAAGAAAGAAAAGAAAAATTCTCCTCCTCTGATGCATCATGCCTTGTTTTCAATTCCTAGAGAATTACTAGCTTCTAGTACTTTCTGGTCCCTAGTTACCTTCATTTGCTTTCCCCTCCCCACCATTATAATAAACTAAGTTGACTTTTCTTTGGAAATTTTATTTTATAATCATCTACTCTTAGGGACACTAGCACATAAAGCTGTATTATTTTTGGTGAGCATTTTAAAATTTATGATTAAGACAATTATCAAAGGACACAAAATTGTTAGGTGACTTGAAATTTTCTCACCTTAGAGAGAATTGAATCACATCAAAACAAATATAAGCTAGAATTTTAAAGGGTCTGTTTAATTAAACAGTTTTCAGCAAGTTTGGAGACTGAGTAAAGATAAGCATTGGTTTGGTTGTTACTCAACAGATGACTTTTTTTTATTGAAGGTAATGTACTTTAACACCACTGAAAAACATTTGTTTCCTCAAAGCCCTTATTTGAAAATATGCTCTAAGATTTTTTCCATGCAAAATAGTATACATGTAAATCCTTACAACCTCCACGAAAAAGCCAAAGACATCTAGCAGCTACTTCCTCTATGCATTCCTATATGATTTAGTGATGGTAACAAAAGATAATTTAGCCAATTTCTTTGCAAAAGGTGAGTCAATTTAAGGGGGAAAGCGCTCATACTATGTGCCAACAGTTAATTTGTTTCTATACCCTTCTGAGCCAAGACATGAGCATGTCTTTCACAAGTAAGTGGTTAGCTGTGGAAGTGCCAAACTGTTTAACCCATAACTTTTTGTAATCTTACAGTAAATAGGCAATTACTAAACCATAGTTATGTACCACTAACAATCAGATTTTATTACATGCCCAACCTTACAGAACAATTATGAAGCCAGAATTCTGAAGGTGGATAAAATTCTGACTGTATCTTCCCTCTACCTCTTTTTCCCAGGCTATCTCAAAACCTAGGCATTTTTGTCCAAGACAGAAATAAAGTCTCTCTTTCATGGTATCCAGGGAGCATAGATTTGGCTTAATTTTTACATATAAGACTTTTTTACGTTATTTCTCTTGAAAAAATCAGCACAATTTAATATACATTAACTAAGCACTCATTACATATGCAAGATTTTTAGCACAAATAAAGAAAAAAGGTTCTATTGTAAGAAAAGAGGGAAAAGATAAAAGACAAAGATTAATAGACGGTATATTGAGGATGAACAACATTCTGAACCCAAACGCATCAGAAAAGGCTTGTTGGTGGAGATGGCATCTCTGACAAGCCTTGAAGGAAAATAGTGATTCTCAAGGTGGAGATGAAGTGAATGGTAGGTGCAGATGAACCAAATCTTCA